GGAGAGATGGCGGGGTCTTGGCATGGCCAACGTATTCGCCGAGCGTTATGAAGATCTGCATGGCTCAATGGTTGCGGTGGGACCAGACTCTCTTGTGGCAGGCGCGGAGCGCGCCGGCTCTGCGCCGGACTTCTCAGCAGAGGAAGTCAAACCAGCACTGCAGCAGCTTGAGAGGAAACGTTGCGCGTATAGCCAAGGCGTCGTCGGGGAGGTGCTCGCGGACGGCGGGGGGGCATAATTGAAGGTGTTGACGCGCTTGTGCAGTGACTCTGCTCAAGCCAGATGCGCAGCCGCCAAGTGCGTGGACGAAGGCTGCGATTAAGGTAATGCATAAGTCTGGATAAGTCTGGCGACGAACGATTGGTTGGAAATTGTCGGCCGATTGCAATCGTCTCAATTCTATATAAAGCGTTCCCCCGGCTTCTCTACAACCGCTTGTTTCTTGCATTGGATGCAGACCAAAGTTGCGACCAGACAGGCTTCAGGGGCGCATTTGGGACAGAGGACCATTTATTTACATTTGAATTCGTTCAAGAGTCTTGTAGGGAACACAGAATTCCACTACGGCGTGTCGCCTTTCATTTTCAGAGAGCTTCTGGCGCTGTTGAACACCAGGCACTCCGGAACGCGCTAGCCGGGCAGGGTGCGCCGATCATTTACACGAGGTTGCTTATGAAATTGCATTCCGGCCAGCAGGGGCAGGTGGGAACATATGCATCAAGCAGGTGGTTTAGTATTGCGCGAGGAACGAAACAGAGCCCCCCCCAGCTCGCTTATTTTCAATGCTCTGTCTGAGGACATCACGGGGCAAGTGAAGACGGCATGGGCAAATCGGCAATATGGGCTCCAGCTTGGGCACGCGGACTTCCCCCTGCCCACGAATCTTTGATTTGCGGACGATATTTATGTATTTGATAAGAGTTCGCAACATATTTCCCGGTTGCTCTCCGTCGCGCGCGAGGTCGCCGCCGCCGCCGGCCTGGGGCCCCACCCGGGGAAGGCGTAGATCATCACGAATGCGGCGAAAGGATGCGGAAGAGGCAGGCGCGCGCATCTCAACATCAATGGCGATTTGATTGAGATTTATCGGCGCAGACGCCGGCGAAGTATCTGGGGCGCATGATTGGTTTCGACGGTGCAGACGTCGCAGAAATAGATCAGGATTTGCCAGGGATGGAAAGCGTTCATCGTGAAGAAAGCAGAACTGACCAACCAACACTACTCGCTGACATCTCGTTTGCGCTTGTTCGAAGCCGTCGTGACCCCTCCCGCGTTGCATGGGGATTCAAGTTGGATTTTGACATCCGAGCTCAATCAGAAGCTGCAGGCCACAACGGCGCATGCTACGCATGCTTTTTGGCCCTGGGCGTCGCCGCGCGCGTGCGCGGGGGCCGGGGCGAGGGCCCGGCCCCGAAGCGGAAGAAGACAGCAGCGCAGAGGACGACGATTCTCATGAATGTTCATCCTCTGATGCCGATCTAGAGCCCTGGGTCGATTGGATCAAGCGGGTCACTCACCGCGTCGAGGATCACATGGACAAGCTGCGCGTCGAGAGTTGGGGGGGCCACCGTGCGACGCAGAATCTGGAAGTACGCGGCAAGAGTGGCCCATGTGTTTACGGACAGATGGGCAGTGAAGGCAGCCGTTTGGCAGCCTCAGAACAAACCCCACGCCAAAGGCAGAATGCCAAGAGGACCTCGGGAACGAGGGGGGGGGGGGGGGGGGCGAAATCGCCAAGCCCCCTGGCAGGCTGAAGGGCCAAAAATCCACGTGGTGCCCATTGCGTGGTGCAATTTCCCGCTCTGGAACTCTCTCGAAGACAAGTTCGCGAAGCAGAACATCTGAGGCACCGCGGTGCCTATCACCCTCGCCCCGCGTGGGGCCGGGCTCGGCCCGCTTATGGGGTGTCACTCACTCACTCACGCACTCACTCACTCACTCGGAATGCTCTTGGAGGCCTCGTGGAGCGTCTTGGAGGTATCTTAAACCGCCCGGAGGCCACCTGTGGCTTCTGTGACGGACGATTCGATGATTCGCTGCCTTTGTGGACCGTTTTGGAGGCTTTTGGGGGCGCTCTTGGCCTTGGCCCGTCTTGCGGACTTGGCGGGGAAGGGATCAAAAGGGAAGGGGCTATCCTTCGACTCAACTACGACTTTGTTGAAATTCGTTTTGGCTGGCGCGCTTGGGGAGCGGCGAAGACGATGACGACGACGACGACGAACGGAAGAGCGTCTTGCCCACGCCGACAGTTCAGTGTTGGTCATTGCAGATGGGATGCAAGTCCCGAGCAGTGCGTGTTGCTCTGCTCGGGACTCGCATTCCTTATGTAGTGACACTCCACCACCACGCCGACTGGATCAGCGGATTTGAAAGTGCGTCGGTGGCGCGCGCTTGACGGTGTATGTGCCAAAACAAGTTCCAAGTCGTTTGGACTTGAAAACGTCCCATCGTGCTAAATGTGCCCCAGCCTGGGGGCCGCCTCCCCTGACCCACACCGCAGGGGCAACAGGCCTTTGATGGCCGCTCCCGGCCGCCTTTCGCGGCGCGAGCAAAGCCACACGCGCGTCTGTACCGTATTGGTCGTTGATAGTTGATTTTATCGTCTCATGAATGGTCGATCTCATTTTCCGAGGACCGTAGGCTGCGCTGGCCCTTGTTCCGCAGGTGGAGGTCGCCGCGGAGAGGGCCGAGCGCGCCGCCGACGGCGTTCGCAGCCCAGTTGGTTTGGTTGCGCCGCAATCGGTTGCACTCGGAGGGTCCGGTTCGATCGGCTGCATCGTGTCATTCGCCGCGTCGCTGCGCCCTTCTAGGCTTGCGGCCTGCTGGTTTCGGTTCCGCTGTCGGCTCGGTCGGTTTGCTGTCGCCGTGCACGGCCGTGGGCAGCGCGCCTCGGCGCCCCAGCCTGCACAGCGCCGCGGCCTGCAGGAGCAGCAGGAGGAATGGCAGAGCAGAAGGCAGGGGGCAGCGGGCACTGGCGCTGCAGAGGACGGGGCGGGCACACCTCGCTGGCCCAGTGACCACGACCACACCGTGTGGTGAGTCAGTTGGAGTGTTTTTTCCCCTCCCTCCCCCTCCCCCTCCTGACGCGCTTTATGACCCCCCCTTCCCCCCCCCGTCTCCCCCGTAACGTAACGTTTCCCCCCCCCCCCCCTCGTGCGTCCCCGGCACTGCCGCAGTGCGCCCGACACAAGTTTTTAGTGCCGAACCTCCGCGGCCGGGGAGGGGCGCTATAACCCCCCACCCCGCCCGGCGCCCCCCACCATAACTCCCGTTCCGGCTCTGGTCCTGGCCCCCCAGGCCCTGGCCTCGGTCCTGGCCCCGGCGCCAGCCCATTCCCCGGCCCCATGCCCCGGCCCTGGCGCCGGCCCTGACCCCTGGCCCCAGCCCCGGCCCCTGCAGCTCCTCTGGTTTCGGACCCGACCCCAGCCCGGGCCCAGGCCCCAGCCCCAACAGAGCCCAAGAGGCTCCCAAGAGAGTCCGTAGCCATTTTGGCTCAAGGACGCTGTGGCCCAAGACAGGTTTTGCGGTGCTCAGACGTCCACGCCCAGCGCTGGAATCGTAATCTCGCAACTGCATCTTTTCCCACTGCCGGCGCCGGCGCGAATAGCTATGGGCGCCTGGAAAAGCCGGGGCCTGCGCTACTCCGAGGAGGCTGGCCACGGGGTCACGCGCGAGGTGCGTGTGGCCGGAGCCGGCCTTGAGGACGTGAACGGTGTCTACACGCTGGCCAGGGAGTTCGCGGGCGCAGAGATGTTCGAGAAGGATGGCGGGGGGTCCCCCTTGGGCAAGGTATACATCCGCCGCCAGGCGGAGGGCATGCCTGGCGATTGGGTCATCACGCTGTCCGCTGACGCGGACAGCGTGAGAAGTGAGCACCTGTACAGGCGGACCGAAGTGAGAAAGGAGCAGGTCTTCCCGCCGCTCCTCGGCTGGAAGCCGTGCACGGCAGCCGATGGCGTGCTCGAGCGCCACGTGGATCAGCTCTCCAAAGGCCTGCCGAAGCTCGAGTATCACAACGTCATGGCGGAGAGGGGGCGTGGATTGATGTCTCCGCTGGAGGAGTGGGACCAGCAAGACACCAGCTCGAGCCTCGAGGTGTGCGTCGTCGGCGCGAGCAACATTCCCGATTCCTACGCGTCCAAGCTCCACTGCACCTTCCAGGTGCCCGGTAAGGACGAGATCATGGAGTCTGGCGCCGTCGCCAATTCTACAGACCCAGTGTGGAGGTTCAAGGCTCCCCTGAAGAGCTGGAGGCATCCGGATCCTTTGCAGTTCACAGTGTTCGCGAACAGTAATATCAAGATTGGGGAAACCACGCTGGACTACACCGCATTCCGCGAGACAGGCTTTGTTGGAAAGCTTCCTTTGTCGTTGTTTGGATCTGACGACCCAAACGCGACGGTGAATGTCTGCGTCACCAGGCCAGGGCAGCTTATACCGGGCGTCGATGTCGTGCTCAAGAAAGAGTTGGACGCGAAGATCGGCATCGAGGTTGCCATCGAGTCGAAGACATCCCTGTCCATAGTCAAGATCGCGGAAGGAGGGCTCATTGACAGATGGAATGGTGACCACCCTGAGCAGCGCATCCATCTACGCGACATCATCACCGAGATCGACGGGACGCGAGGGACGTGCTACGACCTGCTGTCGAGGCTAGCAGTCCAGGATGAGCCGAGGACCATCCAGATAAAGGTTCAGCGTGCCAGCAGGGTTGAAGCATAGGTATATCTACTGAGCCACAAGTGTTCATCGAGGTCTGCCTCGTTTTTACAATCTATGGGTGTAAACGTAGATTCAGAGCCGCGGAAGGCATGGCGGTCCAGACTTTGTTTACAGTACGTACTACTGGTCTGCAGTTCTGTTTGCGACGTCCTCGTGGCATGTGCGGCGTGCAAGCTTGATATGCAATATTTTGTTCTCACACACGTACAGACATACATCTATAATTACTGCAGAGCGATAAGGAAAAGGAGGAGGGGGAGACTGCCTGGTCTGGAACTGGTGTTTCAAGCTGTGGGCCGCCGCATAATTAGGTCTTTGGTTGACCCTTTCAGGCGTCCGCGCCACCTCTTTACCGCCCCCATGTCCTCCACCCTCAAGGACTTTGCAGCCGTGGCCTTCAGATCAGGTAGGATCCCCTGCCGCGAAGAGTCACGCGGAAGAGTGGGCGGCACGCCAGTCGTGCGCAGGGACCCTTGCCGCGGAGAGTCACGCTACAGTGCGGGCGTCGCGCCAGTCGTGCGCGTTCATCCCGTGCATGTCATCTCCATGCGGGCTCTGCGAGCTCGCGCGGTTGGGGGGAAAAAAAAAAGGCTCCCAAGAGAGCCCCAAGAAGGGCTCCAGGGCGTCAGCGACGTCGACGTCGCCGCCGCCGCCGTCGTCGTCGCCGTCCCCCTTCTGAACTTCAGGGTCGGCGGTATCGGCCGCAATGCTTTCCCAATGATGCTCTCTGGGGATTCGGGACGGCTGCATAGGGTTGTGACTCGTGTCGCTCTCCGAGCATGTCTCGTGCGAGGTCTTCCCCAAACCACGCGGTGACGGATCGTGTGGCGATGTCTCGTGGGGTTATCGAGGTCACCGCGCGGCCCATCACCGCACCGGGCCCCCTCAACACCGCGAGGGGCGCTTCCACCGCTGGTGACGGCCGGCCGGCCCGAGCTTCAGGGGGCACGCGCGCCCCGTGGGGGGAGAGCCTCTCCCCCCACGGCCTCTGAGGCCTCGGCGAGGGAGGCGCCGATCGCAGGCGCCACAGCTCCTTGCAGACTCCATCGCCATCCGATCGCCGGCGGGACGAGGGTCCCGGAGCAGCCGTGCGATCGCTTGGGCCCAGACGAAGGAGGGAAGCTGGGGGGGGGTCGAGCTTTTCCAGGCGAGGGTGTGGTTCGAGGTTCGATGTTTTCGGTTTTTTTCGTGGGTTCTGGATTGGTTTCCTTCTTCAGCATCTGCAACTCTCCGAGAGTTCCAGGTGTGCCAGATCGTCCCGAACGGCCGCCGGAGGCCAGCGTTACGACCCGAAAAGCCAGGGAGCGGCAGGTCAGGGGCACGCAAGGTGAAGGCGGGATGGTCTCGGGGGGGATGCGACAGGGGGCCGATAGGCCCACTCGGCCCAGGAACGTTCGGATCCGCAATCGGGGGCCCATCGTCTGAGCCTGTGCCCCCCTGACGTTCACCGTATTGGAGGGAGGAGGGAGAGAGAGGAGTGAAGTATCAAAAGCTGGGAGGGGCATGAGTGTTCGGTGGGTTTGTGAATTTCTCGGGTACTTCTTCTTCAAGGGAGCTTGAAGGACTTCCAGGGGGCTCTTGGAGGTTTCAGGGGTGGGGGAGGGGACAGAGTTGCGGAGGAGGGCGGGCAGGGATCGCCAGGTAGGCGGGCTCCCCAAGAGGGTCGCCGAACTTACAGGCCGAGCCAGAAGTGTCGAGAGGGCCCTCCGATTTCTCGAGCCTCATATACCCATCCATCGTTGAAAGCAATGTTTGTGCGGGAATCTCCCCCTCGTCCTTCCCCCCTTTCCTCCCCTTTCTCCTTCCGGCGCTCGAGGTTGCTGCTCGGGGGGATTTACACCACGCAGCTGATGATCTGCGTGCCGCTGTTGGCCCGGGACGAGAGCGGCCAGAGCGTAGGACGGGATTCTGCATTGGCAGAAAGGGAAAGAGGAGGAAGAGGAGAGGACAGGAGGAGGAAAAGGTGAAAGAGGATGAGCTTTTTCGCATCAGCATCGGCTGGCGCCTACGAGGGGCATGCGGGCCGATCTGGGCGTTCTGCTCCGCTCGGGAGCGTTCTCGACAGAGTGAAACGTTTTGGCAGGACAGGGAGCAGTGTCCCGCACTCCGCTGAGTTCGCTTTGGCGTGCGCATTGCACATTGCCTGCTGCTACTCGGGATTATGTTTGCAAGTCTCCATGTCCGAGGGAGTCACGTGGGCTGATCAGCTGGGAAGGGGCATTGCGCTTTAGACCGCCTCATACCCTTCGATCCGGTCTATCGTTTACACATTTATGCCCTCGAGCGCCCGCCCTACCTTATGCCCAAGTTTCGGTGAGGAGTGGTACGGGCCTGATTTCGAGAGATAGGGGGAAGCAATTCGTGGACATTCCCCTATTCCCCAAATTCACAGTTGGCACGCGCGGGGAAGATTGCGGTCGAAGTGCAACTCATCCAACCCACCGCCAACCCTTGGGCGCGTGACCGAAGCGGGTGCGTTCGCGGCCCCCCCGCGTGCCGAGTGCAGCAGAAGCCTTGAGCTGAAATCCATGGATCGTAAGAGAGTTGAGGGGGGGAGGACCCAACGTCTCATTCAATCGATCTCACAATGGACGCCGCTATCGCTTTCACAGTCGGTCTCACTCGATCGATCACACTATCGATCTCACTCGATCGATCTCACTATCGATCTCACTACCGACCCCACTCAATCGATCTCACGATCGATCTCTCTATCGATCTCACAAGCGATGTCCTTGTCGGTCTCACGATCGATCTCACCATCGATCTCACGATCGATCTCTCTATATCGATCTCACAGGCGAAGTCGTTATCGGTCTCACGGTCGATGGGACCATCGATACTATTATCGATTCCGTTGGATCGATCTCACTATAAATCTCACTCGACCGATTTCACTGTCGATCTAATTCTGGATCTCGTTATCGATATAATTCTGGATCTCCCTATCGATATTGCTCGATCTCACAACCGAAATCACTATGGATCTCACGATCGATCTCACTATCGGTCTCACCACCGATCTCACTATCGATCTCACAATCGATTTCTATCGATCTCACAATCGATTTCGTCATCGGTTTCACCATCGTTTTCGCACCAGCGGGACACCGGGACACCGGCGGGACACCGCGCGCCACCGCTTGCCGGAGGGAGAATCATTTGGTCTGGCCCAGGCCGAGCCACAAGCGGGACACCGGCGGGACACCGCGCGCCACCGCTTGCCGGAGGGAGAATTAGTTGGTCCGGCCGCGCCTCAGCCACAGGAGACTTTCCTTTCGCCCGCCCACTCAGCGTCGCCTCGCCCGCACGCACGGCACGCACGAACACGAAATCGAAACCGATTTCCCGGTGGTGGGCTCTCCGTCCCACTTCGATCTCACCCCCCAACTTCCGGCTACTACTACTACTTCTACTACTACTACTACTACTACTACTACTACTACTACTACTACTACTACTACTACTTCTACTACTTCGACTACTTCTACTACTTCTACTACGACTACGACTACGACGACGACGACGACGACGACGACGACGACGACGACTACTACTACTACTACTACTGCTACTGCTACTACTACTACTTACACTGACTACTACTACTATTATGACGCACTGCCGGGCACAGTACTACTCCACTACGACTACTTTTACTACTAGACGACGACGGACGCACGAGCGACTACTACACTACTTACTGACTACTATTATTACTACGACTACACGTAACGACTACTACTACACTAAGACTACTACTATATACTACCACTTTACGACGACGACGGACGACTATACTACTACTAACTTATACTACTATACATTAATAAATAATAATACTACTACGACCACACCACCACACCACCCCCACACACCACTAATACTAATACTACTACTACACGACGACTGATACTACTATTACGAATTACTACGACTACTATTACTACTACTACTACTACTACAACTACTATAATATTACTAATTAGTGACTTTATACTAACTACATACTACGAATACGACTAGTATTATTATTTATACTACTACTATTTATACTACTCAAGACTACTACTATAGCTACTACTAATACTACGAGACTAGACTACTACTACTAACTACTCAAGTACTGCTACTATTATTGACACTGATAGTACACTTACTACTACGTCTATACTACTACTACTACTACTAATAATACTACGACTTTACTTACGACTTCTACTGGCACTACGATTGCCATTACTGTTATTCTCACTACTACTACGCTACTACTACCACTTATACAAACTACTACTAAGACTTACTACACGACTCTTCTACTACTACTACTACTACTACGACTACCACTGCGACTACTACTACTACTACTACTACTACTACTACTACTACTATATTACTATACTACTACTACTACTACTACTACTACTACTACTACTACTACTACTACTACTACTACTACTACTACTACTACTACTACTACTCGGTCCCGTGCACCACATCACCACGGCTCAACCGCCTTGGGATGAGCGTCCTTGTGGCTGCCTCATTTCCAGTATGTAGCGAGCACCTCTTCTGGGTGAAATGGCGGGTCTGACGTGCATGCAGCGGCGGGCGCTTATCCGAGGGCAGCTGGTCCCTACGGCCCAAAGTAAAGCGACAGCGGCGGCACAGCAACACACAGGGCGACCCCAGTACCGCCGTCGAGGCCAACTAGCGCAAGTAGGCGCGAGAAGACGCCAGGATGGCAAGCCCAAATGGCTAGGCGCACAGCGGCGTCACGGCAGCACACGGGGCGACCCCAGTACCGCCGACGAGGCCAACGAGCGCAAGTAGGCGCGAAAGGAGGCCAGGATGGCGAGCCAAAATGGCAAGCCAGAATGGCTAGGCGCACAGTTGACCGTGCGAAGACCGGAGGCCTAAGCACCAGGGCCCGCGGCGCGAGGGGGGGCACCACTGCGGGCGCACCCGCGCAAGCTGGCAAGGCGGCGTTGCTGAAGCTGGAGCGTAAGCGAGCATACAGGCTCAGCATCCTTGAGAGTGGCAGGCTCGGGATCTCAACATGAACTCGCGTAGCCTCCCCGAGGGCTTAGAAGTATACGATGCTGGGGGCCTGCAGAGTCTCAGCGTTCAGGCGGACTGGCCTGTTCCCTGCGCAATGGCTGCGAAGACCTGCGACGGCAGCGCTTGCACTTCTCCCCCGAGGTCGCCGCTGCCGCCCGCCTGCCCGGAGGGCCCAAAGATCTGGCGCTCGAGATCCTCACCGAGGGCCACGTTCAGGGCAGCGACATTAGGGATCTGCTGCGGGAGCGGGTCCGTCGGCGGCGGCGGCACCGCAGGGGGCGCCGTCAGCGGCGGCGGCGGCGGGGCCATGATGGCCGCTGGCGGGGCTCCAGCAGGCGGTGGTGGCGTGTCCTGGCTGCCGCGGACCGAGCCAGCTGGGGGGGGCACTGGCGGCGCGGATGGGAACGGCACGCGGGGCGACCCCGGTGCCACCCCCGCCGCCCGTGAGGCTGCCCTCCCAGAGGTTGTGGCGGCGCTCATAGGCCGCCAGTTCCTCGTGCGCGGTCGCCAGGCGCTGCCTCCT